AGTCGATTTTCTCGAAAACAAAGTCTCAAACGAAAAATTTTTATTCCATATTTTCCGACTTCTTTTTTCGCGTAGAATCACCCCCTTTCCGCTTGTACCGCCAGTTACCAACCACCCTGTATAATATCGTATATTTAATTACCTCGAACAAGAAGAGCGTCACCATACCTTGGCGACGGAGCCCTGATGGAAGTATATCCGTCAAATAGATATGTGCGACGTGGCGACGAACGTGTTAAGAAAGATATTGGCTTTCACTGGACGAACAAACAACAAGACAGTTTTGAAATGTTGAAACAAAAATTATGTGAAGCCCCGATTTTGACTTATCCAGATTTTACAAAGATCTTTACGATAACAACCGACGCAAGTAAAGGACTAGGAGCAGTTCTTTCACAAGACGGACACCCATGTTGTTTTATTTCCAGAACACTGAATCCACCCGAAAAGAATTATACGACGACTGAGAAAGAACTATTAGCGATAGTTTGGCATTGAAACAATTACGACAATACTTGTTAGGATGAAAATTTATTATTAGAACAGATCATCAAGCTTTGAAATGGTTAAATAATTGCAAAGACCCATCATTTAGAGTAATGCGATGGAGTTAGAAGAATATGAATACAGAATCGAATATGTTAAAGGCAAAGACAATTCAGTTTCAGATAGCTTATCTAGAATTCATGCGATTCAAAAAGTAGAAACCCTAGAGCGGTAGTCTTAGATTTCTTATAACATTTTGCGGAATGGAAAAAGAAATCAGAAATCTCAAAACGATTAGAAATGAAACTTAACGATCAATCCTTCTAAACTAACTAAAACAGAATTAGGAGAGTTTGACGAGAGAATATGGGTAAGAAAGTTAATAAAATATTACGGAATAACAAGAAAGTAGGTATAGGAGACACCACGTTTACAGAATTAAAAAAGAATCAAATCAAGTTTATACTTCTATACTTTAACGATACCCGACACCCTGTCATTTTAGCATGGGTCCCAATCCAAGAATTAACCGCGGAAGAAATAGAAAAAATAATTCAGGAAAATCATAACGGTACGATAGGACATTTAGGAATCCAAAAGACATACCAAAGAATCAAAAAACAATATAAGATCCCAAATTTAATGAGTAGAATCGAAGATTTTATTAAAAATTGTGACGTTTTAAAGAGGAACCAGTAATTTCAGACACACCTTTAAACCCCAACGACAAAATAATCATGGACATTATAAGACCAATGACAAAGACTAAGCGAGGAAACCAATTTATTCTATCAATTCACGATGAGTTGACGAAAACACTAATTTACGCTAAGTTTGGGGAAGGAATTAACGTTTTACAATTAGATGGCAGTGAGGTATTTCATGAAAAGATTAAGCAAGCATACTTATATTTCGACAAAATTTATATGTATATAGGGACAGATATAAACGATGTATACGAAAAACTGAATCATATGAAAGCGAATGTCATGTTCATCGAGAAAGTATGTAAAAACAAATGCGAACTTCATAACGAAATAATATCTCTAAACCAACACAGAAAAATTAGAAACTTCAGCATACCAATTACGACTTTTAACACAGAATCACACACTAACTAAGAGAGGATTGTTGAATATTGTTGAATCTATATCGAAAAGTCTATTCGGAACTCTTGACACCGATGACCTAATAAATACTAACATTGACAAATTATTTCAAGAAGAAAACGAATTATAAATTATAGTTGCAAATCAAACAGCGCTCATACGTAAAATCATAAAATCCAACAGCATAAAACAAATCGACGAAATGAGAGTTAAATTTGACGAATACATCGTTAATGATATAAGGGAGAGACTAATAACAGATTTAATAATTCAAGTAGAAAGTGCAATTTCCAATTTAACGAAATCTTTAATGCCATAAGCATGGAAAAAGCAGGAATCCTTAGCCCTCAGATTATTGATCACGTACTGTTTATCGAAAATTATAAGAAAGCATTAGGCCATCACCTTTATAATACAAAATACGAAAATTATCAATTCATTCTAGATATATCAAGACTAACGGTATTCACTGTCGCAACTAAAGTTTTCATTAAAATAACCGTACCTTTGCAAACAGATTTGGTATGGGATATAGTGCGAATATACCCTATACCGACTAAAAGAAGCCATGCATTTCTGGCACCCGTAATTGAACATCCAATATTCTTAACGCATCAATTTGCATATATGAATGTTGACAATGAATACCTTGATAAAAATTGTAACACGAAAATAGGAATCACAATGTGCAGACAAACACAAGCCATACACGATAAGAAATCTATTCACGATTGTGCGTCAGAAATCATTAACTTTAGCAGAAAGATAAATGTTTGTAAATTTGCTATAAAATTTGCTAGAATCAATACATAGCCATACCACAAAAAGAAATTGAAATTCACGTGCTTTGCGACGCCAGTCAAAAAAAATTAAGATAGGCAGATCCTCTATAATTCAATCTCCAGATGAACAATGTAATTTAATATTTAACGATAGTATAATGAAAATAAGACAATCTAAAGACAACATAACGTTTGAGTATAAACTTAAAACGATTCCTTTTGTAAATGATACTAGAATAAACTACTTGTTAGACAAGATTGAGAGAACATCTAGAATCTTTAGTCATATTCCAGAACATCAAAAGAATTTGAACCAAATATCTGATCAAATCAATCAATTAACGTATTCTCTCTGAATACAATCAATTAAATCATGAGGTGTACAATCAATGAAATCATTTTTTATTTCTGCAAATAGCAGGTTACACTGCCTTAAGATTAACAGGAATTTATCTTCTTAACAAAATAGGAATATTCGACTTATTGAAGAAATGTTTACCAACGAAACTATGTATCCACCTACTATGCTGTAAAACCAACATTCAAAACATTGCGACAAACGCTACACCCCTAAATATTTATACAAAAGTACCACAGATACCACAGGCGTCAACAAAGCTCAAAAGCATAAGATGCCACGACAAAGAACAAATAGAGACTGAGCCAGCCAAAGTCCAATTCCACCGCTCCATACTGAAGAAACGCTAAAATTTTGAGGGACCAAAATCAATCTAAGGAGGGAGGTATGTGACATCGACCACACCTTATTCTACATCAGAGATAAGACTTCCTTCCCTACCTTCGGACTCTTTTGCACACAGCACCACCTTATCATCATAACTTACTCCAAGCCCCTCAACATCCCCAAACCAAAACATATATAAGTCGAGACTTCAGCAAGCTCAGACAGTTCTTGTTCAGCCTTTCTCTGATTCAGTATATTATACTATCTCTGTAAGACTATTGTAATCATTGAATTTATAATAAAGTTTGATAAAAGAAAATTAAGAGTTGGGCTATGGCTCAACCTTCCTTTTATAATCTAAGTCACAAGTTTACGTGACACCACCACGGAAATACATAGATGCAGAATGCTATATAGCATTTCGTGAGTTGAGCATTATGAAACTCATGCAGCGCACTCTTGTTATCTGGAAGTGAAAGAACAAATTTTCTTTTCATTGCGAATTTAAAAATATATATGTATCCATTTTTATATTAGCACCAATATGGAGATGCTACTACTTAATTGAAATACTACAAAATTAGGTTGAAAAATAGTTCTTGATGCATAGAATCCAAAAGTGCAAATTTGAAGTTGCAAAATTTACTGGTTTAGAAGTTATGGCTATGTAAAGTTGAGCGTTTTTAGCGTATTTTACACGTTACTCTGATGCCATATTGACTTCTATTCATTTTTCGTCCAAAAAATGGACTGCACAGATGACATCTGATTGATCTTTACAAATGAGGAATTACATGCTCTAGACTTACTGTCTTCGGATCGTTTCTATCAATGATGCCATCAAATCGATGTTGTTATGACCACAAAATCGGCGCTACAAAAATTGGCATAAGCAATCGACAAATTCATGTAAGCGACCTCTTCATCTCATCCAATCCTTAGCTGGCCACCAATTGGATTCTATTTTTTTTTTTTTTTGTATACATAATCATATCATCAAGAACTATAGTCGAATTGACCAAAAATTTGTTTGTACTAACATAACCAGCCAATTCATGGCGGCTGAGAAGTAAATACTAACCCAAACTAAAATCAATTCTAGCTTACCTAGAAAATCTATGATTTGATTATGATTGACTATTATGATTATGATTGAAATTATGATTGACTATTCTAAGCAGGTATCCCTCTGCAATCAGTATGGCATAACTTTTGAAACAGCAGATATAGATTTCACTATTGACGACATTTCCTTTTATTGCTAAAACTAATGTTGTCTCCTTAGCATTTAACACTAATACCATCCGTTTCTTTTTTCTTTTTTTCGGGCAGGGTGGTATTTACCAGACCCAAAATTCAATGACTTACAACTCTGCTGCCACGATTATATTTTTGTTTGTCCAATTTGGCTTGGTCAATCTATGAAATAATATGAAAATGGAAGCAGTATTCAAATGGAAATAGTACAAAGAAATAAGTAACAGAAAAATTGAAATATTGAACTGTTACATAAAGTACCTGAGCAATGGTTGAAGATCCAACTCCCAAAATCCTCCTGTAATTTTGGTTTCCCCACATTATATTTAAAAAGTGTCCCACTATCATCTCTCAGTGATAATAGAACCACACAGCAATTGTTGCAAATGATAGTAGTACCACAAAGTCGTTGCCTAATGTGAAATCGCTCAATTCATGAATGGTATCTGTGCATGAAAAATCTCGAGCAGAACAGTATATCAATCTGAAAAATTGAATAATTTTTAAAATAGCTTGGATAATATGTTAAACTTATAAAGATAAGTTTAAAACTTACATGACCACTTTGTCAAAAGGTAAGAGAATTTCCTCAAAAAATTAATTGTGGTTACATATTATATGATTTGCTTTTTTGATGGCCAAGGGGATATCGAAATCAGCCAAACCTGTGCTTTGCCTCGTCACATAACGTAATCGGATTCCGATGATAACAATAGTATTTATCAGCGTGTAAGAGCCCATACTCACGAGTCCAAGCAATAACTGCTTTTTTTAAAGCAAGTTAAATTCCATCTCGTAGATTCTATTTTTTGAAAGTAACACAGTAATATAACAAAACAAGTAATAAATGAAAAAGAAAAGAGACAAAAAATAAAAAACTACAATAAAGCGATCAAAGAAGAAAATGAAACAAAAACATGCGTAACGGTCGAAAAGAGCACAAATGAATACTTCGGACGCTTTGGAAAATCTATTACTTGCAAGCCTTAAGTCATGTTAGGACGAAAAACCAAGCGTGTATAAAACACACTTGATATAACCCGCCAAAATGGCCGTCACTCATTTGGAGCCAGTTATTCCATGGGTTCCACACATTGAAAGAGAGGAAGTCCACTAAGGTAAAATTCAACCCAAAACTAATTACATCCAATTACATGCAAGTCTCAAATCCATCAATTTTTTCTGAATGTTGAAATAAGTGTATTTTTAGAGGAAAAAGCGATCTTTCCCTTGTCTCCATTCAAGTTCTTATTGCTTTTCATATATCCATTTAAAAACTTGAAACAGAACTCCCAAAATTTTCTATTATCTTTTTACGAATCATAAATACTCATGGATATAGGAATGTGTCTATATAAATACTAGAACTGACTACAGTAATTTAAATGGATATCTTATTACAATAGGTGGCGCTTCTTTAAGTTTAACCATTTTTAACATAGCTTGTACTTTCTTTCTATCTACGTGTTATATGTATATACAATATGAAATGATAGTATAGCACATACAATTACTAATATATTTTACAAGGATTGGTGTATTCACGAAGTGATTTATGATAAACATAGAAAAAAATCTTTTGCAATGGAAAGGCATATAAAACCTTTGACAAATCACAATGTGGATTCTCAGTTCCTGGCTGTGTTAGCTGCAATAATTGCAATTATTGTAACTATAGGTAATTATATATAATACTCATAGGTTATAAATTCCTTATGTCTTGTATTCAACATCTGTGGTTATGTATTAAAAGTTAAATAAAACATTATAATTGACTCATAATCTGCATGAGAAATAGGTTTTCTGATTTTATTATCACATTATTCAAAATAACATCACAGTTTTCTTTTTTTGTAGCAAGTAAAACGAAAAATATATCTGTCTAAATGCTTTTGATAAATTATATTCCTAAATTATATATACAACGTGAAATTCACAGATATAAAGTAACAGAGCATATCCCTCTTTAAATTTGCACATGTATTATTAAATAGTTTTTGTTATATTTTAACGATGTTCATGAATAACATGAACAATCTCATAGTTTCATTTCTAACATTCTACAGACATCACATTCATTTGTTTAAAAAAAATGTATATCATTATAGCCACAGTAATTAATGAACATTATGGATATAGCTGCAAGTAATGAAACAAACATACCATTGTAATTGTATACATAATATAAAAATAGGTACATTTTTGTGTAAATATTTGCTTAGGCTTTTATCCTAAAATTCATAAGCCTACGTCTGTAGAGCCATTTGTTTGGTATTAACAGCTCAATCTTAAACATTACTACTACTTATATAAATTTCTATTCTATTCCTTTGCTTAGTGTTATTTGCCATATGGCACAAGAGGAGGTCTATAGGAAACAGTATATTATTAACTGGTCTTAGTGATGCTGGTAAAACACTGATATATGCACGTCTACTTTGTTCTAAATTTGTTAAGACACACACATCTGTAAAAGAAAATACAGGAGATATCATAATCAATAACGTAAGTTTTTACATATATTTTCATTGTTTCTTGAAGCATGAATTTTGACATACCAGAAACATAGGCCTCTAAAGTATCAATTTATTTAGCGGTCCTTAAAGATTGTTGATATACCTGGACATGAACGTCTACGTTACAAATTTTTTGATCAATTCAAGTTATCCGCAAAAGGTCTTGTTTATGTGATCGATTCAGTGACTTTCCAAAAAGATATCCGAGATGTAGCAGAGTAAGTACACACAAGTGGTAAGTCATCACATCCTGTAATGAGAATAATAATTTCTGAATTTCAGATTTTTATATAACTTACTCTGTGATCCTGCTATACATAAGAAATCTATACTTGTATTATGCAATAAACAAGATCAGACTATGGCAAAAGGTGCAGCTGTTATAAAGACTCTATTAGAGAAAGAAATGAATTTACTACGTATGACAAAAACAAGTCAGTTAGAAGCTACAGATGCATCAGCAACAAATGTTTTCCTTGGCAAGCAGGGGAAAGATTTTGACTTCTCCCATTTGGATACAAACATTGAGTTTGCTGAATGTAGTGCATATAATAAAGATTCCGAAACTTCTGCGGGTATTGAGCAGTTAAACAATTGGCTAAAGAAAATTGTATAAAAATATTCTTTCACTTATTGAAATAAATTATTTGTTTTTAACTTTTTAAACAATTTTATTATTTTTATGCTATAAACTGTACTCATATTGAAAGAAAAAGGGACATAAAATTAACTTTCACATGTCAATATTCAACATTCCTAACCTAATTTTGTCATAAAAGAAACTCGTTTATCTTAAAATATCACTTTCTATCACTTTCCAATTCAAATATAATTTGAAAATCTATATCTTAATAGAAACCTTTCATTGGTTATAACAATTATTGTTTACATACAAATGTGAGAATACAATTTAATTCACAGTATTTACACAAAGTAATTGTTTTACATAAAATTAATCTTATATATAATTATATATAATTAGATTCTATAGTTTCCACATAATATAATTAAATATAATTAAAATAAAATCTTATAATTTTGTTCTAACCTAACGATGTCATCTACTACTTGACAGAAACGATTAATACGTATTAATATGTATTTCTCAATTATATAACAGTTCATAAAATTTAAACAATTTCGCCCTTACGTCCAACATCAAGCACATACGATTTATGTATATAAATATCACATCAGAAACATTCTTCTAACTACAGATAACCACATAACCGATGCAACTGCATAAAAACCAGCACTGCTTAATATGAAAAGCAAATGGCGTTTTATTTAAATATTTTTAAAATACTTTTTTTTTGCTAAACAAAAAGGTAATATATCGTAAGTATATCATCTTTGTGCCAAAGATAAAATAAACAATTCTTTACACCTATAATTATTTTCAAAAAATATTTTTTTATGTTTAAATTGTGTTTCTTGTATATATGTATTATATCATATATAACGTAACAAATTCTTGTGCTTTCTGATACGTATGTATGTATATAAACCATATTATTTTTCAATAGCTAACGTCATTTAGTTAATTGTTTATATCATCTCTATACTAAATAATATTTTCCTTTATGGTATTTTTTTTATAATGTATTCGTATATTAATGGGATGATTACATTTAACTTATATCAATATAGTGTGGAGTTACATCAATATAATGTGGATTGTTGAAAGGGATAACAAGTTTTGATTGTAGAAGACAGAAATTTTTGAGAAAAAATGAAATTTATTGAATACATAGGTATCTTATATTTTTGTTATCATAAAAATCACAAAACAACAATAATTTCCAGAACTGAGTTGGTTAATAATGTAATTGCGCAATTGAAAGTTCATATTTTAAGATTGTTTACACATATAACATTACTATAGCGTAGCAAATATTTTTTAAATCAAAATTGCAAAGTACATAAACGGAAAAACTGTTTTGATGATTAAGTATACTATATTCGAAAATGTAACAAACAACTGACCTAATATGAATTAAAAATTCTAGGACTAAAAATATTAGATTTACGCACAGTAAGTAAACCTCTAGCAAAACTTACTAAATAATAAACCAGCACGAAATCTTTATATATAGCTCGATCGATAATTACAAGTCGCGGGGAACAGTCAATCGGTAATTGTTGGATGGTGGGTTTAGCCATGTTTTGTTGTGCTATGTCCGATAATATAAGAAATCTCTTACAATATTTTTGCCATCAATTTATAATATTGTTACTTCCAGGTATATTATTTTCTACGAAATATGTCGTTACTTCAGTGGTTATTTTCTGTGCGACTTGTATTTCGTTTTTTCTCGCTAATTTTATCATTAAGAAGCTTAAACAGATTTGATTTTGGTTCTCCTATAAAGTAAAATGATAATTATTAACAAAGCGGTCGATTTCATGCGCGTTAGCTAAATATTCGAAGAGCGTGAGAATCGCTTTCACCTTTTGACTTAACACCCTTTATCTCATAGGTGCGGCTGAATTTTGTGCGGGGCCGTTTCTCTGTATGACAGAGTTTGACGCGAATTACGCGTAATCGATACAGCACTGCAATGTGTGATGGATAATGCTGTTCTCTATGCAAGCACATTGGAACGAAGTTTTTGATAACTAAATTATAATTTTTCTTAAAACTATGATGCATATACTTTAACTTTAATAATTTACTTTAATAATTAATACTACAATTGAGTGTGATATATTTTAGAGCACAGAACGTCACATAGATCCACGTCACAATTTTCACACTCATAACGCGATAGTGTATGTCAAATTGCTTTTAATTTTCTGTTTTGAAGCGATATTTTGAGGTTGAAGATTCTAAAACATTATAAGGATACGAATCGGCATGTTAAAAAGAGCATCTAATAATGGTATATTTATTTTAATGAAAAACAATTGATTCCTGACACTGACGTAACAAAAAAAGACCATATATTCTATTTGTATATTGTTAACACTGTTATAAAATGTTGTGAGGGCAAGTATGAAGCAAAACAAATGAAAAAGATCTAACGGTTCAAACGGTAAGCGAATGAGTCAGTAGAGTGAGCCACTATAGTGACACTTCGTAACATAAGATGACATCCGCGAAAGCTACTATAGTGGCGTATCGTACCTAAGACCTTACCTTAACACCTTAATAAAAACACCCTTGGTGGAATACTCGAATAAATTAGCTGTTCATTCGAATAAGGAACAGTTTATAAATGAGAATGCAACCAGATATAATAAAAAGAGACAACTGAGAGATCCCGAATAGGTTCTCAAAATTTATAAATGTTGTAGTACTTTTAAGTGAGGACCGGGAGGAGAAAAGGTTCTCTTTACAAAGCTTTCCTTAACAACAATGATTTAGGAGCATGTCATGCACAGTGAGCACGTGTGCACTTCTACACCGCTTTCCCTTGGACCATCCTGGGAACTTGAAGATGAGCGTCCACTGCATCCGTTGGAGCCCCGACGCCTCCTTAGTGGAGGGAGCTACCTTTCGGATTTGGACCTCGTGAACCTCCATCGAATTTTACATTTTGCTAAATAAGGAATTATAACAAAAGAGCAAAGAATCCTCAGAATCACTTAGGCTTCGATACCAATCAAATATAGAGCAATCATCAGATCTATTTAACTCTACTTATTTCGATAACAGATTTTTATCTGGGACATTTGTCCCAGCTGGGGAGTTTAATACTTCAGTAGTTTAAGGCGTTTGTCTTCTCATGAATTGTAAATTCATCGTAAATCGCTCGTACCATCTAAGAAACAACTAGAACATTATTAATTGGCACAAACGTAACAAGGATAAGATACCAGCGCAACTGGAATGGTAGGAATTAAAATCAGGAGAAGTAAAAATTAAAAAGTAGGAATATTACCGAAGCTTAGGGAAAACCGTTCGTAAATTGACCAATTGTGACAAATCAAGATGAAAGAAAAGAAGGGTCTGGTTCTGCGCATGCGTGACACGCTAAACATATATCAAACAGAGACAGAAACATTTTATTTATCTCTGTCTGTCTCACAAGAATGCGAATTTTGTTGACTTTCCATGTTGGCTTTTTACAACTAGATACTACTCAATTTTGTCTAGCGAGTGCCGAAACCACTGTCATATACAAAGGTCTGGAAACTACAATGGATGGGGAAAGGCTGTTAATGCCGCACAGTGGATTGATATTGTAAAATACATTTCACAAACAAAATATTTTGTTTCTATATTAAAATGCTAATTTTTTAATTCTTCTATTGCTATAAAACAAATATGCAGCCAAGTTTTATGAATAATGCATATCTTTTTTATAATCTGCTAAATATCGTCTTAAACTTAAAGTTGTCCTAAAATATTTTTTAGATTTCTGTTTCTAAAAAGCAGCCAGCTGCCTAAATTTTATTGAAATGGTTTTAGTTAGCTTCCTTCTTATAACGAAAATTATAAATATATATGTCGGAGATGAAAGGCCACCGGAGCCTCCCCTCTGGAATTTCGGGAAAATCCGTAAGATTGTAATCAAAGTTTACAGTGGTAATTAAACAATTTGCCGTCATTCTACCCAATCATACTCGTTTGCAATTTGTGATAATAAACTTGGGCTCAAGGCGAACGTAGCCACGGTCAACGGGACGGGCGCTCCGTCTAACAAAGGTGCGGAGTGATGTTATGACCCTCATTACAGGAAATACCCATAGAGGTATCTGACAGTAAAACATGCCAACGGTTCCTTCGGACAATGAATACCTGATGTAGAGGCACGTACACAGCACAAGTCCAGTTAGCCCGAGGACTCGCTATAAAACCTGGGTCTTTTCGGCAATTAAGATTTTTGCAAACGGACAGGCAGCTTTTGTCCCAAATCAACCAATCGACAGCGACGTCGATCCGAGGATCTCGTGTACTTAGACACCCCACCAGAGTTTGTCTTGGTGGCGGTGGCGTCGTTGGGACGAGGATTCATTCCTTATTGAGACCTCATCGAGGAAGGGAGTAGCGCCTTACGATCAGTACACGTTTGAGTTAGAGCAAGTATTTCTATCGTCCCGTTGACTGTGGATTCGTTATCGAACCTAAGACCATTATCATTAGTGTCGCGAGTGCCTAATCGCCGCTGTTGATTGTCGAATCGGTAGCGTTCCTACTCGTAGTATCAGGCCGTACCGTCGTCATAACACAGCAATGGCCATTCCAATGGAGATCTAGCAAATGCCCACAACTCTATTCCTGACGCTTCTCTGACATATATATGTTGGGTGTTTGCAATGTAAGTATCATATTAGTTTCAATTATTTGCTAAATAATCTTGAAGCGAATCTTCGTTCGGACTACACGATGTCGTTATGCATTAGAGAAGACATTGACTAGTGCAAATACGATTATTATAGAATTGGACAAGTAACCGTGGTAATTAGATATTCGAGAAACTAATGACAATGATCTTAGGTTCAATAACGAATCCGCGGTCAACGGGATGATAGATGAACATGCTCACAATATCTAAGTCGAACTCTTTGTTAAAACGTGAAATATCCATCGAGCATACAGACACAAAGTAACTCGCTCGACCTCACGAGAGAATGACTTTCCGTCGCGATGATGCTGCGGAGGAAAACTATGACGGGGG